CAGCAGCTCTGACACTCCAGAGAGGCCATTCCAGACGGAGATCTCTGATAAAGTATTTCACGTCTGTACAGTGGCTCCCCAGAAAGGGGTAAATAAGGCTTTTCTGGAAACTGTTGGAAGATTAAAGAAATGCATGCACATGAGTGCACATTTATAAAGTGAAAAGTACTACATGCTGTCATAATGCCTTTCTTTAAAAAACCTAAAAAAACAACAACATTGGTTTGTTTTGAAAAGGCAGTACATTCACAGGAGAAAACAAATAGCACCAAAGAAAATGCTGTGAAAAGTAACCCTTCCTTTCACAGGTAACTGAGCTCTGTCCTCCACAGAGGCAACCATTTCCTAGATCATCTTTTTAGCACCCATCCTTTCGGAAATCATCTTTATATATACAAGAACATTTGAGTGTATATATATCTATATTCACCTTTTTTTTTTTACCCCAGTAGTAGCATACATTGTTCTGCGTCTTGCTTTCTACCGCTTAATATATTTTAGAGATTATTCCATATCATACATTCTTTGCATAGTTTTCTACCCTAAGGCTTTACCCAGCCGAAACCGGTTTGGCTCAATGGATAGAGCATCAGCCTACGGACTGAAAGATCCCAGGTTTGATTCCAGTCAAGGGAATGTACCTTGGTTGTGGGCACATCCAGTGTGCAAGAGGCAGCTGATCGATGATTCTCTCTCATCGATGTTTCTAACTCTCTATCCCTCTCTCTTCCTCTCTGTAAAAAAAATCAATTATATATATATATCCTTACCCAGGCAAGGGCTGGGTCTTCCCATTTTTTGTATTGTATATACAGCTGTGCATACCATAGTTGCTCAGGAAATATTTGCTGAATTCAGTGATATAAATTTTCTCTTATATGGATACAGGAAAATTTCTTTCTCCATCATTCCTTTCCTCATTCCCACCTCAACAGTTCTTATTGATTTTGAGTAACTGCCTAATCCAAGCCCACTTAAGTTATCTATAATTTAAGGTGTATGTATTTATACCAATTCAAATGGATTCATTAATCTATGGTAGCTAATCTTTCAAAGATTTGTCTTGGCTCTCCCATTGACTAGCTGTACAATATTAGTCCAGTTATTTAACCTCTTCAAGCCTTGGTTTTGGTTTTTGGTTTTTTACAGGGTGTGACACTTTATTTTTTAATTTATTTGAGAGAGAGAGGAAAGGAGAGAAAGAGAGATCAGTTGCCTTCTGCATGTACCCCGACTGAGGATTGAACCTGAAACCTGGGTTTGTGCCCTGACCTGGAATCAAACTGCCACCTTCTGGTATATGGGACGATGCTTCACTAGCTACACTAGCCAGGTCATGCCTTGTTTTTTTAAATCTATAAATAGTGCATTACTACAGGCACCTATGATTAAAGCAGGTGATCCATGTCAAGCACTTAATACAATACATTAAAGGCTCATTATATGTTAGCTGTTGTATCCGTGAAAGGTTCTATGTAGGAAAATATACTGGGGACTGTAAGAATTTGCACAAGGAGTCCTGAGCTAGATCAGAGAGAGCTTCCTTGAGAAATAATGCCCGATATTTATTGAGTTCTCACCATATGCCAGTGTGTTAGATTGCTAGGGCTACCATAATAAAGCACCACGGACTGGGTGGCTTAAATAATAGAAACTTGTTTTCTCCCAATTGGAGATTGACGTATTGGCAGGGTTGGTTTCTTCTGAGGCCTTTTTCCCTAGCTATTAGGTAGCCATTTTCTTTCTGTGTCTTCACATGGTCTTCCCTCTGTGCCTGCCTGCCTTCATATGTCCTCTTCTTATAAGGATACCCTAATTGAATTAAGACCCACTCTCATGACCTCATTTCAACATAATTATCTTTTTAAAGACCCTGTCTCCAAATACGGTCACACTCTGAGGTCCTTCGGGTTAGGACTTCAGCATATGAATTTTGGAGGCACACAACTCAGCCCCTAACAGTTAGGCACTGATCTATGGCCCTTACATGCATTCTTTCACATCAACTCTATCATTGCTAATTTAATCTTACAAACTGACTTGTAGAGAAAGGTTAAGCATTTTCCAAATTACACAATACCTAGGAACCAGTAGTGCTCAGGCCTGAATCTAGATAACCACCCACTGAAGGCTTATGAAATAACGAAGGATGAGTTGGAGCTGGCCGACCCAAAATTAGAGGGAGCATACCAGGTAGCGGGGAGTATATTGAAAGGCCTTGGAGTGGAAGAGAGCTTGGCACGTATGAAAGGAATGAAAGAGTCAAGGTGATAATGTTAAAGAAGTGGACTAGGGAAAATCACAGCAGTCCTTACAGGCCATGGCTAGGATTAAGATTTTGGTCTTTACCCTAAGAATAATGAGAAGCCATTGAAGGATGACTTTACCCACTGAATAATAAACCACTTGAAAGAAACACAAAAATCTTAGTTTTGATTTTTTACATATGAGGAACCAAGATCCACTGATTTTTTCAAGGTATTGCACCCAAGCTTCCATATAACTCCATCACAAGGGTGAAATATTTGTAGAGTTGGCTTCTTACTACTTAAAACAGGTGGTTGCCCTGGCCTGTGTATGGCTCAGTTGGGTGGGCATCCTTCTGTGTACAAAAGATGGCTGTGTCTATTCCCCAGTCAGGACACATGCCTGGGTGGGGGCTTAATACTAGGTGTCGTGCAGGAGGCAGCCCATCAATGTTTCTCTTTCATAGATGTTTCTCTTTCTCTCTCTTTAAAAATCAATAAAAATATTAAAACAAACAAATAAAAACAGGTGAGTATGTATCTAGAGGCAATGTGTGTGGTTTAGGTGGCCTGTAAACTATGCTGGGTTCCCCAGAGGGATTGGGAAAGTTGAGATTTCTAGTCATCAAACTAATTTAATCTTGGTCTGATGTTTTGGCTGCCTTAAATGTAGAAATGTAGTGAGTGTCACAACTCGGCATCAAAACTCAGTTGGAAGGATAAAACAGAGCAGCCTTTCCTAATTTTGTTGTTGTTGTTAATCCTACACCGGAGGATATTTTTCCATTGATTTTTTGGGAGAGTGGAAGAGAGAGTGAAATGTAGAGAGTGCCTGGGAAGGCACATGAGCTCTTCTTTAATTATTGTCTGCTGAATCCAGTGGCGCTGGTAGAGCCACATCCTGGAAACACACCTTGCCAGCTTGACCTTCAGCCTAGACTCTTTCATTCCTTTCATATGTGCCAAGCTCTCTTCCACTCCAAGGCCTTTCAATATACTCCCCGCTACCTGGTATGCTCCCTCTAATCTTTGGTGGGCCAGCTCCAACTCATCCTTCGGTATTTCATTAGCCTTCAGTGGGAAATTATCTAGATTCAGGCCTGAGCACTAATGGTTGCTAAGTATTGTGTAATTTGGGTTTCATTATGTAAGTCCAGCCAAGCACTAGGAATTAACATAATCTAATACAAGAATTCACATAATCTCCTTTTGTCTTGACCTTTAGTAAAACTTCCTGGGTTTTGCTGTCTAAAATAAACACAGCTGTTTTGGCTCTGGGTCTCTGTCTATCCATCAGAGAACAGTGATCACATCCAGCCCCAGCTTTTTCCTTCCTTCTCTGCCTCTTAATTTCATTTTCTCAATTTCTCAGGAACTGAACTGCTCTCTAGCCACACTGGAAGCCGAGAAGAGAGAAATATTTATAGAGAAACATCTATGTGAGAGAAACACATGGATTGATTGCCTCCTGCAGGACCCCAACCATGGCCTGGGCAGGGAGGAGCCTGCAACCAAGGTACATGCCCTTGACTGGCATTGAAGCCGGGATCCTTCTGTCTGCAGGCCCACGCTCTGTCCACTGAGCCAAACCAACTAAGGGCACTTTGCCTAATATTTTTAAAATATATTTTATTGATTTTTTACAGAGAGGAAAGGAGAGTGATAGAGAGCTAGAACATTGATGAGAGAGAAACATCCATCAGCTGCCTTTTGCACACCCCCTATTGGGGATGTGCCCGCAACCAAGGTACATGCCCTTGACGGGAATCGAACCTGGGACCCTTCAGTCCACAGGCTGATGCTCTATGCTAAACCGGCTAGGGCTGCCTAATATTTTTGAACAGCTTTATATGCAGATACAATTTACATACTGCAAAACTCGCCTGTTTTAAGTGTACAATAATTTTTAGTAAATTTACAGGACAACCATCACCGCAATCTAGTCATGGAATATTTCCATCACAGTGAAAAGATCCCTACTGTCCATTTACAATCAATCCCAGCCTGTTTCCAAATCAGCCTCATAAGTGTATTTTACAGACTTGAGATGACCTTATAGACCCTAGATAAGCCCTAAAAGGAACCCAGGATTGGACTCCCAATGACTATGAATATGGAGTATATATATATATTAATATATATGTGTGTGTGTGTGTGTGTGTGTGTGTGTGTGTGTTTTTCAACGTGCCAACTATGTCCAGGCTCGATCTGTATGTGAGGAATTCCTTCCTGCTCTCACTGACCAAAACACAGTTAGCTGCCCTAGGTGTTTCTCTAAATAAATGGTGCAGAAGCGGTAAGCGGGAGCCTCTAAACGCGCAATGCGCGCATCTGTGTGGGTGATGAGCACCAGGTGCTTAGCGATGAGTAACGCGTATCCAAGGCAGTCCGTGTGGTGTGCGCCTGCGCGGCTTCGTGAGCTCCTAGAAACCAGTCACGAAACCCCCCTGCTCGCCATCTGCCGGTTCTGCTGCTGAGGAGGCACCGCAGCCTCAGACCTGAGCGTCCACCCGTGACGCACAACGAACCCAGGCCCGGTAGGTCAACCCCACCCCCTCGCTTTCCCCCCACAACCCGGAGCTTGCTCGGAGCACCGAGATGGTCAGGCTACACGCAGGTGCTGCTAGAATGGGGCGCTCTGCCATAGCCACGCCCCTCCGCTTACTGGGCCGCGTCTCCTTGGTCATTGAAGGGCTTGACCCCGCCCCTTCGAGTTGACGTCAGTAGCCACGTACCACGTGCCTACGTGTTTCCAGCCTGAAAGCGGAAGTTACGCTGGGGGCTCGCGAGCGCAGCGATGGGCCTGTAAGGATATAGGCCGCTTGAGGCAGGGGGGGCGGGCACACGGCGCCGGAAGTGGTCGTGCGGAGAAGAGGTAGGGAAGGGGCTGGCGAGCCAGCTCATTTGGTTGCAGTCAGCCGCCGGGGTGGGACGCGTTCTCCTTCCTCTCCGAGAGCCTGGCCCCTTTCCCATCCGATCCGGTCGACATGGATTTCAGGGAAATTCTCATGATAGCTTCTAAAGGACAAGGAGCTAGCAGCGTACCGGTAAGTAGCCGCTGGGACACCCCAGAGATGGAAATTTTAAAGTTGGAAATGTGTTATCGATCGGGTGGGAACTTCGAGGCGTCCATCCTCCCGTCGGCTACGAGGGAGGAAAGACGTGAAACACACCCTCCCTTACTTTTCTTGGGCTCGTACTGCTGGGAACTCGGGGTGGAGAGGGGCTTGAGATGACTTGGGAGCCTTCCAGTGAGGGGTTTTGCCCGCTCAGGTGCCCCCGCAGGAAAGGGCTGTGCGGTTTGGGGGTTCCGCAGCTGCAGTTGCGTGAGAGCTGATGAGTGGAGTTGGTGCCTGGCACACGGTGGGCTCGAGCGTTTGCATTTTCCTTGCTTTCGGCATAAACTTCTGGCCGGAGTGGGGAGAAAGTATGTATTGAAATATATTTGAGAGTTCGGGGGTTTTAGAGACTTGGCTTGATAAGCCTTTTGGCTGATTTCCCGCCGAATTTTCGGGTCAAACATTTCGTGCTTTTCCCCCACGAACAAATTCTAATGATGTGTGGCCCCACCCACTTAACAAATGAAGTGATTAAGTTATCGTTTCCTGAGAGTCACTTCTTTGTATTGGAAAGATAAATGGAGCAGATTTCCACGAAATCCTTGGCCAACAGCACGGGTGAGAGCTAAGTTTTAGCTTCCGTTTACTTGTGGCCTTTCCGGATCTGTCTTTGTTTGAAATCTAGGTCTCATTTGCTTAGTAATGTTTGCCAAGTCGCTAGAATTCGCAGCGGCTTTTAAAGTCAAAACGCTGAAATGGTAGAGAGTGCCTGGTTTGCGGAGTTGTGGCTGCTTTGCATAAACTAATCATTTCTGGGTCCTCAGATGGTACCCACAAGACAGCTGTAAACCGATAAAAATTCATTGTGATACCTGCGGTTTGAGCACTGAGACGTAGAACTCAGTTAAAGTCAGTTCATCTGAAATTTATTGCTCTCTCACTGCGGTTTGCATTTCTTAGAATTTTTGTTTATTTCCACGCTTTGTGTGTGTTTTCTCTCTTATACTTTTCTTGTCTTCTAATGCTGTCTCACTTTTGAAAACAGTGATCTGATTATAGTAAAATAACTGATAAATAAAACTTATATCCATTTATTATCTGTCCAGCCATCTCCATCCCAAGTACTCTTACTAATCATTCCCTAAGCCATGAGTCATTAGCTATGCAGGTTGAGGTTCTGGGCTTAAACCTTTGAAACCTTGAACATCAGAATTATTTCCTACATCTGTAAATTTCCTAGACAAGTCAATATTGAATTTTGTAATACTGGATCTTTGTGTTAGGTCCATATTTATTTCTAGATCTTTCTGAGTTTCAGTGTAGGTGAAAAATAGGTGGTAATCCTATCTCTGATGCCCAGGAATAGTCTGTAAGAGAATTAGTCTTTTTTTAAGACACACACACACACACACACACACACACACACTTATTTAGGCCTTCATTGGCTGATTTTTGTATATGTCCTGATGGGGGATCGAACCCATAACTTTGGTGTGTCAGGAAGACACTCTAACCAAACGAGCTATCCAACCAGGGCTCTTTTTAAAATTTATATACATATTTTTAGAGAGAGAGTTGAATGGGGAGAAACATCGATTTGTTGTTGTTACACTTTTTTATGCATTCATTAATTGCTTCTTGTATGTGCCCTGACCTGGGATAGAGTATCAGGACCACACTCTAGGGCCAAGAGTTAATCATTTCTTATTCTAAAAACCATTAGAAAAGCAAAATGTTGCTAGAGCAGAACAGATTTCAGAATAACTGTAAATTTCAGAATATATGCTTTATTTATTGAGCTGCCTATGATTTGAATAATAAAGATTGGAAGCAGAAAGATAAACAGGTAAATTGGTGAGGTCATTTAAAATTTAATGTTATGAAAGCTTGCTTTTCCCTACCCTTCCCCAAAAAGCTAATAAGCTTAAAAGTTGATTTAGTTGGCAGCATTATAATCCTATCTTTTTACATCACAAGAGAAATTGATGTAGAGGCAAAACTTTAAATTTAATCTGTGATCTTGATTCAACTTGATTCACCCTAATTATTCTAAGTTACATTCTTCATTAGCTTGAAGTCAAGTCTTTTGGAGCACACCAATGCAAACAATGTATACATAATAAGGCCCAGGAAAAATTCTTTCTTTCTGCAGGATTCTTTATTATTTTATATTGTTGGCACTAATACAGATGCCCCTCCCCTTTTAACCCTTTAACCGTCTCCATCCAGCCCCTGCACCCTGCCCCCTGCCCTCCTCCACCACCGTTACCACACTGTGTCTATGGGTTATGCATATATGTTCTTTGGCTGATCTCTTCATCTTTTTTCACCCAGTCTCTCCATCCCCCTTCCCTCTGACTTCTGTCAGTCTGTTCCATGTAGCCATGCCTCTGGTTCTATTTTGTTAGTTTATTTTGTTCATTAGATTCCACCTATAAGTGAGATCATATGGTATTTGTCTTTCTCTGACTGGCTTTTTTTGCTTGGCATAATAACCTCCAGGTTTGGAGGATACTTTTTTCTTTTAAGTCAACTGGAGAGACATATTTTTACAAAATATATATTTAAAAAATTTTGGAACTTGTAAAACATATAGAATGATAACATATACCTATATGCCCACACCTCACATTTAACATACATCAATATTTTGCCATATTTTTTAAAAAGAAAATGTTATTGATTTCAGAGAGGAAGGGAAAGGGAGGAAGGGATAGGAACATCAATGTTGAGAGAGAATCATTGATCAGCCACCTCCTACATGCCTCCCACTGGGCATCTGCCCTGACCAGGAATCCAACGGTAACCTCCTTGTATTGTACATAGGTTGCTGCTCAATCACTGAGCCACACCGGCTAAAGAAATAAAGCCTAATTGATATGTCTGAAGAGTCTCCCAAGCCCTGTCTCCTTTTTAAAAAATTATAACATATGGTACAGGTCCTTTTTTGTTGGTTTTTTTTGTGTGTGTGTGGTGTGGTTGGTTGGTTGGTTGTTTTTTGGTTTGTTAATTCTTACCCCAGGATATTTTTCCATTGATTTTTATTTTTTATCTTTATTTATTTAGAGTGTGTGTAAGGGAGGGGGAGAGACACACAGAGAGAAACATTGATGTGGTTGCCTCCCACATGCACCCCTGTGGATCAACCTGCAGCCACAGCTACTGACATACATGCCCTTGTCTGGAATCAAATCCAGGACCCTTCAGTGTGCAGGCAGACACTATCCACCGAGCCAAATTGGCCAAGGCAATATAGATTCTTATAAAAATAAAATTAAAAAAAAACCTTGTAAGCCACCATCCAAATCAAGAAACATTTCAAGCCATATTCACACAGCCAGCTTGACATAAATTTGCTTGATTGATTTTCTAGAACCAGTCTTTGCCATTATTGGCAGTGACATCACCATCCCTCTCTAGTCCATGATTCCTTTTTCCTTTTTAGCCATCTTCTTCCCCATCTTCCTTCCATTCGGATCCTGTCAGTCTTGATGTTCAGATTTAGTCTTCAGAATTCCTATGGCAGACCTTTACTACAGGAAGATACCATTAGCATGGATTAGATTGAAATCCAAGGCAGGCTACTAGTAAAATCTGAAACACCTGTACAGCCACTTCCAAGTCTTTGCAGGGCTTTATTTTTGAGAGGTGCCTGTGGTTACCTGGCTTGAGAATCAACATTTATTTCCCCATGGGACATCTTTCTTTTTTCTGTTGTTTTCTTTTTTAAATAATTAGATCTTTTCATAATGTTTTAGTTAAAACAAAGAAAGGATTGCATCATGCCTAGAAATATTTGGCACACTATATTTCCCAGTGGGCAACTGAGTGCAGAATAACAGCTGATCAAGGTGATGTAACCAGTCATTGTCATTAGCTCTGCTTATATTTAAACAAAAGACATTTTTTATAAACATACACTTAAGGTTTTTCTCCCTGCCTTCCTCTAGCAAAAACAAACCATTTGTCTTGTTTTGATAGAATAGTAGAGCTTAGATTATGGGTTCTTCTAGGTTTCAAATAGCTATATTTAATGGCTTGCAGTGCATGAGACAGGTTACATGGTCTTTCTCACAGTGAAACTGTGAAAATCATTCCAGACAAGATAACAATAGTTCTGATGTGACCCTCAAACCAAAAAGTAAAGGGGAAGCCTTCACTTGGTGCCAGATATATAAGGATTTGAGAAAAAGAGAGGTGCTGAAAATGGAGCCCAGGAACCTGGGATGGCAGTTACAGATGTCTTCAGGAGCTAGATAGTGTAAATTCTTCAAGTAGTCTGGATGTAAAATGATAGGTGACAAAGCACACATATTCTAAAGAAACCTACTATTTATTACAGTAATTATAGTTCCTTTTAAAGAACCCTATGAGCCTTGGCCGGTTTGGTTCATTGGTTAGAGTATCTGACCCTCAGGACCCCAGCTTCCATCCCTGGCCCCAATTTGGGCCCCTGTGGGAGGCAGCCTATTGCTGTCTTTCTCCCACTCCCTCACTCCCTCCCTTCCACTCTTTCTAAAAATCAATGGAAAAACATATCTTTGGGTGAGGATTAACAATCAATAAATAAACAAACAAACAGTATGAGCCAACAATAAAGTTTCTACAGGCTGTCACTTTGTAAAACTTGATCTATAATCGTTATAACTGGATTGCTCCTCATTTTTGGATCTGAAAATGACTTTTCCAGTGCCTAGAAATATGGATTTCTAGCCTAGAGCTATACTTCTCAACCAGTATTTTAGTGAAAGGGTTTTTTGTTGTTGTTTTTGTTTTTTTTTAATATATTTTATTGATTTTTTTTACAGAGAGGAAGGGAGAGGAGAGAGATAGAGAGCTAGGAACATCAATGAGAGAGACATCAACCAGCTGCCTCCTGCACACCCACACCAGGGATGTGCCTGCAACCAATGTACATGCCCTTGGCCGGAATCGAACCTGGGACCTTTCAGTCCACAGACTAACACTCTATCCACTGAGCCAAACCGATTTCGGCCTTTTTTTTTTTAATCCTCAACTGAGGATTTGTTTGTTTTAATTTGAGAGAGAGCCGAGACCGGTTTGGCTCAATGGATAGAGCGTCGGCTTGGGGACTGAAGGGATCCGGGTTCGATTCCGGTCAAGGGCATGTACCTTGGTTGCGGGCATATCCCCAGTAGGGGGTGTGCAAGAGGCAGCTAATCGATGACTCTCTCTCATCGATGTTTCTAGCTTTATATCTCTCTCCCTTCCTCTCTGTACAAAATCAATAAAATATATTTTTTTTTAAAATTTGAGAGAGAGAAAGAAAGAGAAGCAGAGAAAGAAACATTGATCAGTATTGCTTCCCGTATGTGAACTGCTGGGATCAAGTCCCAACCTAAGTATGTGCCCTGGCCGGAAATGGAACCTGCAACCTTTTGGTATGCCAGATGATGCTCTAACCAACTGAGCCACCTGGCCAGGGCTAGGGCAACGGTCTTTTAGAAACTAACATCGCCACAGAAATTATTTCTCTTCCTCATCATTACCTAGATAATCTCTTTCTGAATAATAATAGCAATAGCAATGAACATTTATAGTGCTTACTCTGTGCTAGACACTGTTCTAAGCACTTTATATACATATTAATTTAACCATTATAATAACCATATAAGGAAAGTTGTTTTACAGATGAGACCCAGAGAGATGTAGAAACCTGCCTAGAGTCACACAGTTAATAAAGTGACAGGGCTAGTGTGTTCACCACCCCAAGTCAAGTCTCCATTCATCACTATCCCCTCTAAACCCTACTCCACCTTCCCGTCCCCACCCCCAATTTTCTTACTATGACCATGACAATATAGTCTCAATACAAGGAACATATGTTTTAAAGTGACTTAGTGTGTTCTAAGTCTGTTGGCTTTAAAATTATAAACCTTGGCAAAATCTCCAATACTGTTTTTAAATGGTATAAGCTTCATTGTTTTGGATCATTCATTGGGGTCCAGCAGAATGACTAAGCTGGCTTACAGTATAATGAAATGGATATACTTAGGATGAAAGAAACTCTGGTCCAGCTGCTTTTCATGAAGCTGAAATGATGAAGCAGCCTGGTGCCTTGAATCAGATTCAGTATTGGTGGGAGCATCTTGATGTGCTGCTGCTAGAGCTAAATGTGACCATCTGATGTAGGGGAAAGTGCCAAGTAGTTATTCTGCCTTGTAACCGAATATATTGTAATTCCAGCTTGGGGCTTTCTTCAACATTTTTATTGCGATATAATTCACACAGCATAAACCCCACCCACGTAATGTGTAAAATCCATAGAGTTGTGCATCCATCACCAATATCTGATTCCAGAACATTTTTTTTTTTTATTGATTTTGTACAGAGAGGAACGGAGAGAGATAGAGAGTTAGAAACATCGATGAGAGAGAGTCATCGATCAGCTGCTTCTTGCACACCCCCTACTGGGGATATGCCCGCAACCCAGGTACATGCCCGTGACCGGAATCGAACCCGGGTCCCTTCAGTCCCCAAGCCGACGCTCTATCCATTGAGCCAAACTGGTCTAGGCTGATTCCAGAACATTTTCATCATCCTCAAAAATAATTTCTTCTCTTTTAGCAGTCATTTCTCCCCCATCTCTCTCTCCACTCAGCCCTAGCAACTACTAATATACTGTATGAGTTTGCCAATTCTGGATATTTCATATAAATAAAATCATATACCCAGTGTAACATTACATAGTGATAGATATTATAAAATGAGGTAAAGTGTATAGGCCATAAGCAAATGATTAAATAAGTGATTATACAAAGTATATAAGATTTTTTAAAATTTTGAAAACCCCCATGAATTTTTACTTCACTCTATTAAATTTGAAAATAGATACCTTCAAAGGCCAAGAGGATACCTTTCAGAGAATGCTTTCTAAGTAGTTCCTAATATCCTTGAACTGAGAAATTAGAATTGTTTCTATGGTTTAACTAATTAAGAGATCATAGTTTTTATGCCCATTAAATGTTTCGACAAGGGTATCATTTTAATTCTTTTGGAGTAAAAGCAGAATATCCTAGAAATTAAAAAATGACAATTATGTAAGTAAGTTTAAAATGATGGTAATGTAATTTTTTTATCCGTTAGTCAGTGTTGACTTCCCTATTCATTTATATAAAGTGAAGGGGGTAATTGCTCAGATAAAAACTTTGAAAGAAAAATACTTTCTCAAATAGTTTGAAAGAAAAATATACAATATGTGGCTTTGATGGTCAGTTTTATGCTAGCTTTAGGAATTCCTCTCTAAATTTTTGTTTATTGATTGATGAGAAAGAGACATCTATTTGTTGTTCCACTTAGTTAAGCATTCATTGTTTGATTCTTGTGTGCCCTGAAAGGAGATCTAACCTATAATCTTAACATATCAGGAACCAGCTAAGATACACGGATAGAGCAGGATTTTTTTTCTCAGTGAATCTGAGTTCCTGAAAACCCCCTCCTTGTTTCTCCCTTGTGCTCTGCCTTTCCTGTGTTTAAATTCCTAGTTTGTGTTTCCTAAAGTGCTGTATAGGTAGCTCTGGCTCTGCCATGATTTTAAACTGATGCACAAATACTTTTTATTCTAATAGCTATTTTTTAAAAATAGTTATATATTGTGATATGATTTGGAAAAATATAACTAGCCTTCTAACCTGTCACTTCATAGATATTATTACTTGAGGTAAAGCTGTAATATTAATACTAAGTCATAGTGTTAAGTCTACATATTTTCTTAAAATTAATCTACAATAATAAAAGTATAATATGCTAATTAGACCGACAGCCGAATGACCTTCTGGACGTCATTCCAGACATTCTTCCTGACTGAGGTGGCAGGGACTGAGGCAGAGATGGTTAGGGGCGATCAGGCAGACAGGCAGAGTGGTTAGGGTCAATCAAGCAGGTAGGCAGGCAGGTGAGTGAGTGAGTGATTAGGAGCCAGCGGACCAAGATTGTCCAACTGCCAGGATCGGGCCTAAACTGGCAGTAGGATATCCCCCAAGGGGTCCTAGATTGGAGTGGGTGCAGGCTGGGCTGAGGAGACAACCCCCCCCCCCTTTTCTGTGCATGAATTTCGTGCACTGGGCCTCTAATTTTAAATAATTAACATTGCCCTGGCTGGTGTGGACCAGTTGGCTGGAGCATTGTCCCATACCCCAAAGGTGGCAGGTCTGATTCCGATCAAGGTTCCGTTTCATCAGGGCACATGTGGGAGGCAACAGATTGATGTTTCTGTCTCACATCAATGTTGCTCGCTCTCCCCCTCTCCTTCTCTCTAAAAATCAAATTAAAAAAAAAAAAAGACTCTCTAAAAGTAAATTAACACTAACATGTATATTGGCATTTTTCTGTGGGAAACACTGTATATAAGCTTTGATTTGGCAGGCAAATCTATTGTAATCCAGGACAATTTTATATACCTAGTTAGGTAAGCAATTAGGATAAACATCTTTCTTTTTAACCTGAAACTTCAAGAGATAGGTGATGGGATTATTACAAGTAGCAAAGCCACTCCTCACTGCTCCTCTTCAGTCTCCCTTTATCTCTCCTTTCTCCTTAAGTGGATTGGGCCCCAATCCACTGTGGAAAGGATCTACAATACAACTAAATTTACAAAGATAAGAATTTTTTTTTTTTTAAAGCATCTCATTATGACTCAGCCAAGAGGACTGGGAAAGAACTCCGGATGCCCTTGGGATTTCTCTGTCAGGGATGTGTCAGTTCTCAGCATTGTTATTATGCAGGATTTTCAGGTTGGTTAGGGCTTGCCTTCTTGGCCAGTTGCTTGTTAGTAGACTGACTTAGCTGGAACTTCCAGCCTGTTTCAAGATGCCTTGCGTTTGACAGCCATATGGTAAACATGGATCCTTTGACTTTCCTCCAGGAATTTCATACACACTTTGGGAATCACTTTTTGGTTCCTATGTAGCTGAATTTGTTCTCAGAGTTAGTGTTTCTTTTTTAACTAACACAGCAACAGGTTCAGTGGATAAGGATATCATCTGTGGCCAAAACCAGTTTGGCTCAGGGTAGAGCGTTGGTCTGTGGACTGAAAGGTCCCAGGTTCGATTCCAGTCAAGGGCATGTACATTGGTTGCGGGCACATCCCCGGTAGTGGGTGTGCAAGAGGCAGCTGGTAGATGATGTTTCTCTCTCATCGACGTTTCTAGCTCTCTAGCTCTCTCCCTTTCTCTCTGTAAAAAATCAATAAAATATATTTAAAAAAAAAAAAAGAATATCATCTGTTTACTTGTAATAAAACAAATTTGGGAGGGCACTTTAAACATCTTACTATTTCCTAGCCCATACATTTAATATGGATGGTCCTAGAGATGAATCATCTTCGTGTGAATTATTAGATGTTTATCATACTTCTTTAATGATAGTTACTTATAAAATGAAAATGTTTTTCTTTTCACAGTTCAAATTAACAATATTCTAGTGTTAGTCATTTCCCAATGCAGTTACATAAGAAGTGAAGCCCAGAGAAGTAGCATCTGTGTCAGGATAATGTTAGCACTTTTTGGTTGGTCAGAGTAAAATCTCATGTTGTAGGCAAAACCATGTAGCCATGAGTCCCTACTAGAAAAATCAGCTGGAGTAGGGTATTCAGAAAAGAACATAGGTGTGAGTAGTAGTGTTTTCTGCTTGTTTGAAAAGTTGAACTTAATTCTGAAGAAGGCTGATTTTTAAAAATTTTATATTGACTGGTGATGGTGATCTTTAAATCTTTTAGAAATAATGTCACAAATACACCCAGAAATTATGTTCTACCAGCTATTTTTCTGGGAATCCTTTAGCCTAGTCAAGTTGACACAAAAAGTTAACTATCACAGTCCGCAGTACACTGTTGCCTGAAATTGGGTCTCTCTTCTGAAAGTGGTCTCACAGGCTGTCATGGAGCCCAGCCGAAAAACCTTCACCTCCAGTAAGGCCTCATTGTATGGAGAAGGCTGATTTCTTAAAATCAGAATTTTAAAGCAATCTGTTCCAAGTGGTGATTTTTTTATTTTATTTTATTTTTTTTTACTTTTTAGCATTCAGTTTAGGTTTTCTGAATTTCTCATCTATGCATTATTTGAGATAAACTGCACATAAAAATAGTCATTTATAATCATATTTAGCCTGGACCTTTATAGCTAAAAGCTTTAATGTGGGTTATTTGATGTCTTAATTATTCAGAATAGGTATTTCAGTCAATACTTACACCTCCTATTGCTTGCCACAGTGTCTTACACCTAATAGACAATATATTTTTAAAGTTGAATTGATTATAACTTCTACTTTTTTTTTTTTTGTAGAAAAGGTATAGTTTGGCAGTAGGTCCTGCCAAAAAAGACCCAAAAGTTAAGGGTGTCCAATCAGCAGCTGTACAAGCTTTTCTCAGAAGAAAGGAGGAGGAGCTCAGACGAAAAGGTACGTTATCTCTAGCCTTATTCTCAATTTTATTTTGTTATTTTTGTTTTGTTTTGTTTTGTTTTGTTAGTCTTCCAGTGAGGATATTTTTCCCATTGATTTTAGAGAAACTGGGAAGGAGGGAGAAACATAGATGCAAGAGAGTCAAATCAATTGGTTGCCATCCATGAGGGATCCAATCTGAAACCCAGGCAGTATATGCCCTTGACCAGAATCAAACCCACCACCCTTCTTTGCGTGGGCAGTCAAGCCATCCAGAGCTTATTCTTAATTTTTATGTCTTCCACCATCACAGCTAGCTTATACTTTCCAATGGATATTATTCGTAATAACTTAACAGGCTAATGGATTTATTGCGAATGTGTATGAGTCAACTGTATTTATTTATAGCAGTATATATGGGTCTTTTTTAATATATATTTTTATTGACTTCAGAGAGGAAGGAAGAGATAGAAACTTCAATGATGAGAGAGAATCATTGTTCAGCTGCCTTCTGCACACCAGCCCTTACTGGGGATCAAGCCCACAGCCTGGACATGTGCTCTGACCAGGAATCAAACTATGACTTCCTGGTTCATAGGTCAACACTCAACCACTGAGCCACACTAGTCGGGTCATATGTTCTTGTATTGATCATTTGTAACGGTGTTATCTTTTATTCCCTCTTAAATAAAAGCTTTTTGGGAAAAGTGATCATATCTTCCAGTTGATTATAGTAACACCTATAAGAACTCCATTCTTTGACTTTGGTTCTGAATCTCCTTCTAGCCTATTTCGTATTTTAATTTCTTTTTGTTATTATTAAAAGTATTATCTAAAAATTAAAATAAAGGCAATTTTTGAAAACCAGTAAACTCAAGAAGTAATTTTACTTCATGAGAAGGAAACTGATTCAATAAGTTTAAGTATTCATGGATTCTAATAACTATTAAGTTAGTACTACTGTTCCCTTAACTTGGTATATTTATTTGGTATGAACTATTTTCTATACTTAAAGTTAGAAGTCAAGTCTCACTTGCTTAGTCATATAGAAAAACCCATATGTGACCCACTCATTGTTTTAAGATGACTCAATTGATACTCATTCAAATGACTTTCTCATTTGATTCCTAGATGTCTTCAAACTGATTTTGTGTGTGTGTGTGTGTGTGTGTGTGTGTGTGTGCGCGCGCTTTTAAAATATATTTCTATTGATTTTAGAGAGGAAGGGAGTGGGAGAGAGAGAAACATCAATGATGAGAGAGAATCATTGATCAGCTGCCTCCTGTGCTGCTCCTACTGGGGATCAAGCCTCAGCCCAGGCATGTGCCCTGACCAGGAATTGAACTGTGACCTCCTGGTTTATTGGTCAACGTTGAACCACTGAGCCATGCCAGCAGGCTGTATTAGTGTTTTGTTTTTTTAATTGTTTTTTGTTAATCGTCACTGGAGGATATTTTTTCCATTGATTTTAGAGAAAGTGAAAGGGACAGGAAAGGGGGAAAGAGGAGAAAGGAAAACATTGATGTGAGAGCCACATTGATTGGTTGCCTCCTGCCTGTGCCCCAATTGGAGCTGGGAACCCACAATAGATTCAAACCCTTGACCCTTTGATTTGTGGGTCGACGCTCTAACCACGGAGCCACGCTAGCTAGGGCCAAACTATATTGTTTCAAACTACATGTGCTTATGTTTTGACCACCAACTGATTTTTTATAAACATACTGTTATCTTGAGACCTTGAAATATGTGTGTGTGTGTTTTTTGTTTTTTGTTTTTTGTCCCTTTTAGCCTTAGAGGAAAAAAGGAGAAAAGAAGAACTAGTGAAAAAGCGAATTGAGCTAAAACATGACAAGAAAGCAAGAGCTATGGCTAAGAGGACAAAGGACAATTTCCATGGTTACAATGGGGTTCCTGTTGAGGAAAAGTCAAAGAAAAGACAGGCAATGGAAAGCCATAATCAGGGAACAGACCAAGAGTATGAGATGGAAGAAGAGGAAGAATTCTTAGAATACAATCAAGCAGCATCAGAGCAAGAATATGAAGAAGAGCAAGAACCTCCTCCCAAAGTTGAAAGTAAACCAAAGGCCCCCCTTAAAAGTGCCCCACCACTCATGAACTTCACTGAACTACTCAGGCTGGCTGAGAAAAAGCAGTACGAACCAGTGGAAATCAAGGTAGTGAAAAAAACAGAAGAGAGGCCTATGACTGCACAGGAACTTAAGGAGCGAGAATTTCTTGAACGAAGGCACAGGAAAAAAACACCTGAGGCAGATGCAAGACTACCTCTGACCAAAAAGGCACCCTCTCAGACAGAAAGTATGGGCACAAAACCTAACAGACTTTCTGGGGACAAGCATCCTTCTTCCAAGGGTACTCCCGCCCCTCATGCTGAGAAGAAATCCAGACCCAGCGCAGCTAATGAGAAACATTTAGGTTTGTTTTCATCCAAATCCATGCCAGGAGAGAAGACCAAAGTAGGACCTAGCAACTGCTCCCAACGCTCGCTTCGGGAGGACCATGACAGGCCCGTTTTCAATGGCGCTGGAAAGACCCGCTCGAGCACCCATTCACCAAGTGTTCCAAAGACTTCTGCTAAAGGAACGCAGAAACCTGTTACTGAGCACAAAGCCAAAAAATCTCCCCCCCATCCTAGCCATTCCAGACCTGGACCCGTGGTCACCCCACATAAGACTAAGAGTCCAGGTGTCAGGCAGCCAGGCAGCAGTTCCAGTCCAGCTCCTGGGTGGCCCAACCTAGTGAATGTTAAGCCTACGGTTAGTTCTAGCTCCATGCCCAGGCGCCAGAATGGCAGCTCCAGCTCAGGATCTGAGAGATCAGTCAGTGGGACCAAGAGGCCAGCCAGTGACTCAAATCCTCCTGGAAGGACAGTCAGCAGTACAGGTGGCTCTGGGCGACCCATCAGTGCCTCAGGTGGTTCTGGGAAGTCACTGGTAAACTCTGGTGGCCCCGGGCGGCCTGTGCACAGTCCACATGACCGACGGCCAGTGAGTGGCTCAGTGCCCCCCAGGCAGTCAGTCAGTGGCCCTGGGCCATCAGTGAGTGGCTCAGCTCCAGCTGGACGGACTGTCAGTAGTTCAGGCCCTGGAAGACCAGTGAGCAGCTTGGGACCTGGGCGAATAGTTAGTAGCTCAGTTCCCCCCCATAGACCCAAATGCACCGTTGTCTCAGAAACAATATCGTCTAAGAATATCATTACCCGGCCCAGCAATGGACAGATGAATGGAATGAAGCCTTCCTTGGCTGGCTACAGATCTGCACAAGGTAAAAATGCCCCTCTCCCTAAGAGTATCTGTCATTAGGAAATTGGAAGACACACCTTTTTTCTTTTTCTTTTTCTTTTTCTTTTTAAAAAAATATATTTTATTGATTTTTCAGAGAGGAAGAGAGAGGGATAGAGAGTTAGAAACATCGATGAGAGAGAATCATCGACCAGCTGCCTCCTGCACACCCCCTACCGGGGATGTGCCCGCAACCAAGGTACACCCCCTTAACCGGAATCGAACCCGGGACCTTTCAGTCCACAGACCGACGCTCTACCACTGAGCCAAACCGGTGCCGGCTGGAAGACACACCTTTTAAAAATATAACCAGAGACCCTATAATCTTCCTTTGTGTGTATTCGTATATTGACAGAAACCTGATTTGATTTTTTTTTTTTTTTTTTTTTTGTCTGTGCCTGAGAGTTCCTTTAGTGATCATAACTTGGAAAGGTCTTTAGAAAGAGACTTACCTAGATCCTCTGTGTTTATCCCAGTAATGTTTCCAAGTTTAATAACCTTAGCTCTGTGATTTGTAAGACAGTGAGTGTATATGCCTAAATCGTTCAGTGAGTGAATTCACCTTTTCATGAGGACTAGAGAGACCTGTCTTCAAGCATTGGAGTGTATTTGTAAGCTTGAAGCCTTTTGGTGCATTATTTATTCATAACATTTTTATATTTGTTAAGTACCAGTATATTCCGGGAACTCTTTTAGACTTCCCTTGTGTTTCTTCTTCTTAGAGTGCTCAACATTAAAGCTCTAGCTATTAGTTCTTTAGGATTCTGTTGTCCCAGGAACTGTGGTGGCACCTACTAGCTGCTTGGTCATAGTTCTTCATGGTAATAAGTACTTGTGAAAGTGCTTGTTGAGCACCATCTATAATAATAAAAGCATGACATGCCAATTAGACCGATGTCCTTCCTGATGAATCTGGGGCTGTGAGGGAAGCCCAGGTTCTGGGTGCCTGCCGGCAGCCAGAGGGAAGCCCGAGTCCCAGGTGCCAAAGGGAAGCCAGTGCCGGTAGCTGGGGTAGGAAGCCTACTCTTGCACAAATTTTGTGCATCAGGCCTCTAGTCCTATATAATAAAAGGCTAATGTGCGAATTGTCCCCTCAACCAGGAGTTTGACCAGGAGACAAGGCAGGCCTCCCAATTGCCTGCAGTCTCTCACACACACACACACACACACACACACACACACACACACCAGTCGGGGCTGACCAGCCCCCACTTGTGCACAAATTCAGGTACCAGGCCTCTCATGGAGAATATAGAAAGAAACAAGAGATTCTGATCCATGCTTTTAACTTCCCAATTTAACTAAAATATTGGTTCTCAACCAAGGATGATTTTGATCCCCAGTGAACATTTGGCAATGTCTAGAGACATTTTTGATTGACACCACTGGGGATGGGATGCTCTTGGCATCTGCTAGACAGAAGGCGGGAATGCTGCTATCATCCTACAATGCACAGGACAGCTTCCTCATAACAAAGAGTTATCTGGCCCAATATGTCAGTAATGCCGAAGCTGAGAAAGAAGCTCTGAGCTAATGAGACAAGCCATGAATATTAAAACTTTAGAAGAACAAAAGGAATGTCTGTAATCAGGGACAAGAAAGCAGTTCCCAGATGTTGGTCTATTGATCAGTGTCAATCTTTTGCTAAAATTTAATCAGTCTTTTGGAAAAATGATAAAAATAAGGGTAATATAGTGAATTTTTCCTAAAGTAAAATTTTACTCAGTTTGAACAGTTAACAAAAATTCTGAGAATCTTTCCTACTTTGTTGGACTTTTTAAAAATGTAATGACATTAATGGTGATAATAGATAGATTGTTACCTATGGTGTCTTTTCTTTGTGATCCTATAGCTATTTGTAATTTTTGTAATGTTGCAAATTTTTTAAGTCCAGAAGAATGGAAACTACTAAGCTAGAAAATGTAAGACATAATAAGTCCTGGGATATACAGGAATTCTAATCCTTGTGGATACCATGAAGCATCAGGGATGATGTAGGAAAGACTTTATGCCTTGCACTAGCTTGCTGGCTCAGATTTTTGAGAAGACCATCTTAATGAGTTCTCAAACTGTGAATTTACATAGAACTTTGTTGGGACTATTATAATTTTTTTTTTTGGGGGGGGGGAGCTATTTTAAGTTTTAATGCTTTTATTAATAATGGCTTTTCTGTTCTTAGGTCCTCAAAGGATTCCCTTCCCTAGTGGTTACAAAAGACAGCGAGAATATGAAGAGGAGGAAGATGAGGACTATGACTCTGAAATGGATGATTTTATTGAAGATGAAGGAGAATCTCAGGAAGAAATATCCAAGCACATTCGTGAAATCTTTGGCTATGACCGAAAAAAGTAAGGCTAAAGAATATTTAGATATACTTTTCTTTTTTTTAATTTTACATTTTATTTTTTACAGAGAGGAAGGGTTTGGCTGGTGGGTGTGGTTTGTGGGTGTAGAGAAGGTATGGTTATTTGCATATTACTCTTATTAGGTAGGATGATATTTGGAAGGATTAAATGTAGTGGTGTGTATATAGGACAGAAAGACAGAAAGGCTGTACCACATTAGTTAAGTTATATATTCTTTATCAAGCCATTAACCTATATGCTTCAGTCTCTTTTCTAAGTCCTTCCCTACCTCATGATGGTCATGAAATTCAAATGAGATTTAAACAAAATAATTTTCACATATATTGTGCTTTCAGGATTTTAATATAAACTATCATGTAAGTAGAGGTGAGTTGAGTAAGCATTGGATTGGTACCTTCATCAGCATTAGATTCGGGAATAGTTGTCTTCTGGTAGTAATAAGGGCTCATTTAATTTGTCTTTACTTCAGAAATCCACCTCTACCCTTTCTTTGCAAGGAAGAGTAACCCTAAGCATGTTTGATTTAGTTGTCAAGATATTGATTTTAGCCCTAACTAGTTTGGCTATGTGGATAGAGCTTCAGCCTGTGGACTGAAAGGTCTCAGGTTCGATTCTGGTCAAGGGCATGTACCTTAATTGCGGGCACATCCCCAGTAGGGGGTGTGCAGGAGGCAGCTGATCAATGTTTCTCTCTCATTGGTGTTTCTAACTCTCTATCCCTCTCCCTTCCTCTCTGTAAAAAAATCAATAAAACATATATATATATTTTTTTAAAAAGATGTTAATCTATAATAATAAAAGCATAACATGCTAATTAAAAAAGGAAAGATGTTGATTTTTAAGAGCAGGATTTAGTTCCTTTAGAAAAATGAATTTTTGTTCTTTTTTTAAAACAATTTTGATTTCCTCTCTTCAGATACAAAGATGAAAGTGATTATGCCTTACGTTACATGGAGAGTAGTTGGAGAGAACAGCAGAAGGAAGAAGCAAAAAGGTAAGTAAAAAACTTACATTTGTGTTGGCATGTCCTGAAAACTCGTATTTGCTGCTTCAGTCGTACCATTGGGAGCAGGGGCTTTGGGCCACACAATATGAATTCTGTCCTGCTTACTTGTTGTGAGGCTTTAGACAAATTCCTTAGCTTTTCTATTTCTTGTTTTCTTGTTTGTAAAATGAGAATATACTGTTTTTACTGCTTGGGGTATTGTGAGGATTAAGATAATATTGACACATTGCCTAGGGGCAGTGCTTCATCCATGTAGACACACAACTGTTTGAAGCCACCTGGGATCTCAGCAGAGCGTGGTCTTGTTTTTTGTTCCCCATCCTGATTCCCTTTGACATCAGACACATCTCATTCTTGCCCACCCTGTTCCACTGCTGGCCTCAAGGACCTGATAAGGGATATTAAATTCCCTCTGATTCCTGTTTGGCTATCTGGTAGCAAACTAATGATAATTTCTTGGGTAGTGGTAACCAATGATTACTTTGATTTATAGCATTAACTTGGTGAAATAATTCATGTCGGTCTCAATCCACTAGTCTTGTAACTAGGTTATCAAGCTAACGTATTGGAAAGGGGCAAGCATAGAATGTTATTTTATTTTGTATAAGTATTTATTTATTTTTTAAGATCTGTTGAAATAATTCTACTTTACTACTTTAAGAGGAAAATAAAATTTTGAGGTTGTGAGGTTTTTTTTCTTTTTTAAATATATTTTTATTGATTTTAGAGTGGAAGGGAGGGCAAGAGATAGAAACATCAATGAGAGATAATCATTGATCGGCTGCCTCCTGCACACCCCTTACCAGGGGTGGAGCCTAACCGGGAATCAAACCATGACCTACCCACTGGTTCATAAGGTCAATGCTCAAACAACTGAGCAACAGCACACAAGCTGTGAGGTCTTTTTTCCACTATAATTTGAGGTAATGGCATGGGTCTTGGTAGTAATTTTGAGTGCATGTTACATTCCATCTGAGCTCCCAATGGAAATTTCATTCTTGCTTTTTAAAGAAAATAGAATCTTTGTCTTACCCTATATAAGCAGCTGGCTTATAGGGGGCGGCAGAGCAGATTTTGTGGATAACCTGCTGCTCTCCAATACTACCAGCAGTATTAGAACAAACAGTCCCTTTCTGGTAGGGGGGAAAAGCTGACGATGTAGTAGTATTGATAAATACCTTTTTTCTTTTTCTTTTTTTAACAGTCTAAGACTAGGTATGCAAGAGGACTTAGAGGAAATGAGACGGGAGGAAGAAGCAATGAAATGCCGAAAGGTCAAGAAACTGAAAAAGCGTTAGCTGCTGCTTTTATTTTTGTGAAACTCTGGAGCGACTCTGCTGCAAAGAAGTCCTGCCTACAGAGTGAAGAAGCCCATTATCATTTTAGATTTATACTTGGGTCTTCAAGGACAAGGAATGGATACTGTATATTTTGAGCATAAAGTATTTTCAAATACTTTTCGGGGTGAAATCTGTAGTGCAGATGACATAATTCCCAGTGAGCGTTCTTAGGAAGTTAACTGCTCACAGGTGCCGGCCTTGATCCTGATGAGCTATGCACTCTAAAGTGGGGCCCACTCAACAGGCAGCCAATCATTTGTTCCTTTGCTATTTTAAAAAGGAAAAAAGATTGCCTCTTCCATAAATCTGTTGATGGGTGAGTAGGGCAATGGCCGGCTCCCAAACTTATTTTGTCTTTTTATGAGAAATCTGGCCCTTCCATGAATGTTGCCAGCAATAAAGTGACCTGTTCTAATCTATATGTTTGGACTGAGAACTTGAAAATGTAGAGTAAGCTTTATAATTATATGGATGTTATCTCTGTGACTTTGAAGTAAAAAGTAGAATAAATTATATTGTATTCTATATTCATTTATTGGATGCTGAGCATTCTTATTCACTGATTTAGGTAATTAGGCAATTAACAAAAAAAATTTCAAGTTAAAAAACAAGTTATGCCATTTGGTGTAAGAATATTCTTTTCCAAGTTTTCCTTTCAGAATTATTTTAAAATAGACAATGTTACTGTGCTGATTTTTATCTAAAAAGTCATTTTATATTGAAGAAAAAATATTTTATTCAAAGATTAGAGTTGAAAGAGTAATAGTTTAAAAAAAAATAAGCAAGTGACACGTGAGGCAACCCATACTCCCCCATTATAAAGGTATTTTGGAATCGAAGGTGCCCTTGTATTTCTTGATGTTAATGACTGCATTTTTATCTTAAAATTACTTAGCAATTAATGGCAAAAACCAAAAACTAAATTCATGTGTATCAAGAGCACCATCACCTCTTTTTGCTCATATTGCACTTTTATTTCAAACTATGCACTGTGAAGAGATTGTTTGCCCAGGTTGAAAAGGATGTTCTTTGTTACTGGTGGTGTACTGGGCTGTGGAACTTGCTTCATTCTCACCTTTCTTTAGACTTGCTCTCTCTCAAGCCTCAAATGCAAGCAATTCTCAGGCTGACTTGGGTTCTAGCTGGAGAGAAGCAAAGTCTCAAGGAAAGTCAGTGACAGAAAATGAGATATGATGATGATAGAGAACGTTTGTCCTTGAGGCTAAATGTGGAGGGTTGGGGTCAGAGGGACACAAGCTTACAGAACACTTCTACAATAAAGATTATGGCTGCTTGAAGCTATTGGATGGTGGGGGTTAAGTAGTAAAGGTTGTCCTACAAAGAATCCTTACTATTTAGTAGGTCCAAAATTTGTTTTGTGCTATTACTTTTTATTCAAAAAACTTTATTTTTCAAGTTTGGATATTATAAGTGACCATTTTTAGCCTTCCTTAATGAGTTGACCCCGGGACTCAGTCTCTTAACCCTGACTCATTTTGAATTGAGTTTCAAATTTTGAAAGTGCAAAGAGTTAACTTTGAACTTGAGTCCAATGAAAGGTGTCTTTATCACTAGGAATAGCACCCTTCCTAATGCTCCACATAGACTGTTACACTGGTGGCAGAAAATCCTATTAACTGCCTCACAGATCTCAAATACCTTCAGTTCAGTGAAATTGGTTTGAGGGTAGTGTGATGTTCCATATAATAAAACAGGTTTGGAACATTATTTCCTTTGTTGCCGTGTACCTCCTCCACCCTTTCAAACGCATTTTTCTTGGATTAATTTTTTTTTCAATATTGAAATTGTCTATTACAATCAAGTGCTTGTCATAGTTGAAAGATTCTTAGTGGCTTAAAGTTTTCTAGCACTTTACTCAATGACATTTGTACAGAAAAAGGCACCATTGTGCGAGGTAAAAGTTCCAGAACTTGGTAAAAAGTCAGGTTGTGTCCTTATGCGTCTATTACTTCTGAATGTTTCCTCTCTAATATCAATGTTGATTTTTAGTAATCTGCAACATCAACATTATAAAAGGGCACTTCTGTGGTTCATTTTTTTAAAGTTCTGAGTCTTTAAATTAATCTTGGCCTTGTTTCCAAATCCTGTCTTCCATTTTATTCTGCAATTCCTGACCACAAACTTCACAAACCTTTGAAGAAACTGGAATGGGCTGTTATTTTAGCAAGGTTTACAAATTAAGTGCTTGGTTTTCAATGTATCATCCGTTTTGACTTTCAGATTTTATTAATTCAATATTTGAAGATGTGCCTTTTATTGGATAATGTTAATGCACGAATGTAGTAATGTTATTTCATGATTGTAATAATGTTACATGATCATGGGTTTGGTATTCTCTAACAGATGATGTGAAAGGAAAGTAGTTTTCATAAAACTCAATATGCCTCTGATTGCACAGTCCCGCCTGCTTTTGATGGTTGCTATGTCAAAGCAAGGGCACTTTCTTTTAAGGCTACTTTCAGGACTTGTCTTTGTATTGTCTCTAAACTATAAATGCAATTATGTCCATTTGGAGGCCAGGGTACCACATGTCACAGGCAGCCTTACATGTGTGCCGTGAAAACCTTCAAAGACTGTTAACAAAGAAAGTCTATGGGAACTAGAAATTTCATTTTTTTTAAATGTAATCCCCAAGATTTTCTCCAAGAAATAAATTACTGTTTTGTATTTTGTAACTTAAAAGCAGCTACTAGTACATTTCTGAGATATAGCAGGAGACCAAAACATGTTTGGAAAGAGAATAAATATATGAAGAGAGAGGTTGGTTTATTTTCAATGTGCTGAAAATATTAGACTATTTATTTTATGAGTGAATGTGATGAAATAAATATTCAGGTTTTAGTGTATGATTAAGAATGGGATATATAGATTTCTTTGAAGTTATTAAATCCATCATGTCTTTTACATAAACATTGTTTCTAAACAAGTTTAGAAACATTTATGTAGCTTAGCTTGTTAACCTGGTGCTGTTGACCTGCAAGAGAATTTACTTTTGCATATACAGGTGAAAGTTTTGCAATTTATGTATAAAAGAAATCATAGGCATTAAAAATATTTTATTGATTTCTCCCTGGCTTGCACTTATTTACCAAAACTCATACTCCTATATCATCACCCTGAACATATTTCCAGCTAGAAACCCCAGTAGACTCATCAGACTTCAGAGATGGGATTTGCCTCTGTTCATTCTCCCTAATACATTCACATCTGTTCAGACCCTACCAGTGACATATCTCTCCCACCAGCTTACAGAAGGCACCCAAGTTAGGAGAACTGTTTGGAGGTGTACTCTGAACCTAGAGGAAAGAAGAACTGGGTATATACTTATACAGAGAACCAGACTCTGACCCCTGTAATAAGGCTCCAGATGGCTGAGGTGAATCTTTAGGAATACATACTAGTACATGAGGGACAGCCTTGCTGCCAAAGAATGCAGTCACTTCATGAAATGTGTTGAGACTAGGTCATAAGTACAAGAGGTGCTAATATCCTAGATTGAGAAATTGTGAAGTTTTGCTTATGAGTTTTGAATTCACATTTCTTTCCACACAAAAAATTAAAGGGCTAATCCATTCAGTGCATAAAGCCACTTACAAAATAGTTCAGCAAATCTACCAAATAGGCATCAACAAAATGTGTACTTAACCAAAAGATCTGCTGGTAAGGGTGCTCTTCTGGACAATGGAAGTATATCAGTCATCCAAGCAGCCACAGAATAAGAACAATTTAAACAGTTTGTTTTAAAAGTATATTTACTCCTGTTAGAGCTGTTCCTCCCCATCCCCGCTTAGGGTCAAAAAGCTCCAAATCACTAGAGGGCTTATTCGGAATAACCTGGGGCTCAGACACCCAGCTTAATTGGATAGATCTTATACTTGGGTTCCATTCTTGGTCTCATAAACTCAAACTGCATCATATTGAGGTCTAAGCAGCTTTTGTTTCTTCACTTGCCTGTTTTGGCAGCAGTCAGTGCAAAAAGAACCATGAGGAAGACATTTGAACCATGAGGCAATTAAGATATCTCAGTCTTTTGTTTGACCATTTTCCTTGACGCACAAAAGCATGCCAAGGAAAAGGCCAGGATTTTAACCTTCACTGCAGCACGGGGCTGCATGGGTTGGTAAGGTACTTAAGGCTTTCAACCTCATTTTTGCCATTTTGTAAAATGAGGCTACTACTCTGGTTAATGTAAGAATTAAAATAATGTAAAATTTAGTATCTTACACCTAATATGAAAAAGGTCCTTTTCCCCACAAGGTGGAAGCTTTGGGTTCTTAGTAATAGTTGTGGAAAGGCCACAGAGAAATACCTCCAAACAATAAGCTTAAAGTTGCTGCAATCTCTAGCCCTTTAACATTTTCAATCCTGCACCCAGGAAAAAGACATTACTTGGAAAATATGTCTAAAGAGCTCTTGAGAATTTCTATCCTTAAGGATACAGAATAGAGGAGAAATTGAACTGGGCATCTTAGTCTTAATACCAATCTTCAGGACTATGAAACAGAGGGGAACCAACCACTTCCATCCACCCAACTACCTCCCCAGCCTCCATCTCCCTGTTTCGAGCTAACAATACCAAGTCTTTCATCTTAAGAAGTGCGGCAACTTTTTACATAAAATGTGACAAAAATAATGTGCAATTACTTTATGTGAAACCAACAGGAACTGTACAGCCAGTGGGTCAGGAGAGCTTCAGAGCTGCATTGGTTCACCCGGGTCATCGTTGGTTATTTCCAGTGGGGTCTGAAGGGAGAAAAGCAGGTCAGGTGGGTCATGCTTAGTCTGGGCTGAGGTCATTGCCCTCCTTGCAATGGAGGGTAGCTGCATCTAACTCTGTCACCAAATGCCTCTGATCTCAGTTGCCTAAGGGGCTTAGCAGTATTGCAGCTGACGAGGCAGAGAAAGGCCAAATATCCAAGGTCCAAGAGGAGGAGAGAGGAGAGAGACGTGTCCCACCAGAACCATTACAAACCCATGTTTACTTGAGGGAGAGCTAAGTGGGGTTGTTCGTGTGGGCTCGTCTAAGAAACGGAATTGAAGACTGGACATACACAATGTCCCATGAGAACAAGACTAGGTCACCCATGCCAGGCAGCTTTGACACTGGGCCTGAGAAATCTTGACAACTACACCGCCAGTTTATTTGAATGAAACTGAAAAATAATCTCTTAAGAAAATGTGTATAAAAGATCATATGAAAGACGGGATTTTTCCAACTTTTTTTTTAAATAAACAAGAGGGTATTTGTTTTCTAAAGTTACTAGAGTTGGATTTTGATGCTTAATTCATTTATCTGGCGCAGTGGTCGGCAAACTCATTAGTCAACAGAGCCAAATATCAACAGTACAACGATTGAAATTTCTTTGGAGAGCGACATTTTTTAAACTTAAACAACTTCTAACGCCACTTCTTCAAAATAGACTGGGCCGTGGTATTTTGCGGAAGAGCCACACTCAAGGGGCCAAAGAGCCACATGTGGCTCACGAGCCGCTGTTTGCCGACCACGGATCCGGGGAAACACATTTCAAAGGAGGAACAGAGAACAAAGTTGAGGGCACACTTACCCCTCCTGGGGGATACTTATATCCCTTCCACATTGTTCCTGCAATGAGAAGCATCCATAAGACAACAATCATTGTGGGCTTCTGGCTCAGCTGGTGGTGTGTGCAGGGGCAAATGGGTGGTTCGGAAAGGTGTGTTCTATTCCCTGGGTCCTGGGAACTGGGATGTCTTCATTCAAGGCCTGTTGGTGGATGGCCCAGCATGATAGCTCCTGACGGAGGAGCTTTGTGGTCTTGTTTGAATTGAAATGGCTTGCCATGGCCATTTTGAGGGGCAGGGCTCAGATACCAATTGTGACATCAGCTCCTGTGACTTTGGGGTGAGTATGGGATGATTGGCCAGGATGCCAGATGTGTTGGGGCTAAAGAGCCCTTATCAGAAGGACCCTGTTCCCTGGTGACTGACTATGCAGTTGGGATCTAGCTGGCACCAGATCTTTATTAACTCACCATCTGCCAATATTTTGACATTTGGTTTTATGCAGTCAAATGCCAAAATAAAATAAAATAAATTCCTAAGAAAAACACAAAACAAAAAATACCCTGATTAACTGAAAGGGTTAATTGGCTAGAAATGTTATAAGCAAAATTACTTTAAGTAATATTGTTATGACTATTCAAAGGAGAAAACATTTTTTAGAAATTAATTGATTTTTAGAGAGAAAGAGGAAGGGAGAGAGAGAAACATCAATTTGTTGTTCCATTTATTTATGCATTCATTGGTTGGTTGCTTGTATTTGTCCTGATGGGGGAATCTAACCAACTGAACTACCTGGTCAGGTTGAAAAATCTTGAATTTTGTGAAATAGCACAGTTAAACTTTCATGCAAGGTAAACCTCCTTACAATTTCCCTCAGAAGGGAAAAGAAGGAACATGGGCTATTATACTCAACTTACAGCTGGAGAAACTGAGGCATGGGATAATTTCAGTGGTTTTGTCAGGAACACAGTATGGCAGTGGCTCAGCTAAACAAGAACCCAGGGCCTCCATTCTTATCCCCACCCCCACAGAGGTGCGACTGTGTTGTGCCAATACCCTCATAGGAATTCTGGAGCGAGGGGGCTGGGGGTAGGGGGGAAAAGCACTACCATCATGCCTTGCTCTTAGAGTAGGGGGTGGGCACTACCATCATGCCTTGCTCTTAGAGTAGGGGGTGGGCACTACCATCATGCCTTGCTCTTAGAGTAGGGAGGGGGGGAAGCACTACCATCATGCCTTGCTCTTAGAGTATCTCTGGCTGGCTGAAACTTGATATCCATGCCTTCAGAGTAGCTGCCTAAAAAACCTGCTCCTGCCGGTTTGGCTCAGTAGATAGAGCATCGGCCTGTGGACTGAAAGGTCCCAGGTTCAATTCCGGTCAAGGGCATGGGCACATCCCCAGTAGGGAGTGTGCAAGAGGCAGCTGATCGATGATTCTCATCGATGTTTCTAACTCTCTGTCCCTCTCTCTTCCTCCCTGTAAAAAATCAATAAAAAATATATTTTTTAAAAAAAACCTGCTCCTGTAGTCAGTACATTATTAAGTTTCTTTAACTGTGGTAACATCCTTGAAAAAACAAGTCTGAATAAAATGGGGTGGGACATGAGAAACCTAGGGGATGCTAAAAGGACACTCTTATTAATGCTTGCTACAGGCAGGCTGATCTAGCAGGATGAGTCTGAGGGGCTATTAAATCCAGAGATCTATGCTTACATCCCTGCTTCACAAACAAGTTGGTCTGTGTGGCAGTTGAGGTCATTGCCACAAGCAAATCTGGATCATGATTGGTTGACTTGTTCATGATTTTGCTTAGTTTTTAAGTTAGCATTTACTGACAGCTAATTAGCAAGCTTTGTATTAAATGCTTAACATGAATTCCCAAATATAATCCAACTAATAGATACTGAGATATATCCATTGCACAGATGAAGAAACTGAACCTCACAAAAATTAAAAATTTCCAAGTCACATAGCTAGTAAGTTGCAAAGTTAGGACTTAACCCAAATTCACCTTAACTCCAATTCAGTATTTGCCAAAAGGGGCATAAAATGCTGGTCTAATTTACTATAGAGTTTGTAAGTTAATAGATGGGAACAGTCTTCGAAACTAATACCTTCCTTTTCAAAACAGACCAGAGTTGTTATCAAACTAGAGGCCCGGTGCACAAAATTTGTGCACTTGTGGGGGAGGGTCCCTCAGCCTGCCCTGCGCCCTCTTGCAGTCCGTGGGTCCTTGGAGGATGTCCGTGGGGAGTGGGCCTAAGGAGGCAGTCATTCTTAATGCTGCTATGGAGGCACAGCCATGAGCCTGGCTTCTGGCTGAGTGATGCTCCCCATGTGGGAGTGCACTGACCACCAAGGTACAGCTCCTGCATTGAGCATATACCCTCTGTTGGTCAGTGCACATCATAGCGACCAGTCATTCCACTGTTGGGTCAGTTTGCATATTAGCCTGTTATTATTATCAAATCTTTGAACCTTGATCTGCTGTCTTCAGCAGTGCTCCCCAAATTTTGTTTCCCTGCATCTACCTCTAATCATTTCCCCTTCTACAGCTCATCATATTCTCCAGAGGAATATAAACTCTCCACAGAGATTTCAGGGTGTTACCAAGTCCTTTAGAAGGGTAGGAATTCAGCCCAACACATATGATCACACTCACAGTTGTAGATCTTCATCCAAATCCTGGCTGCTCCTTCGGGCTTTGCTCTCCTGAACAGGCCACCTCTCTTTCCACCTCAGAGTTGGAGTCTGAGTCAGAAATAAATTTAAAGGCAGACATGGCTCCACTAATTGGTCCAATAGGTAACTGCTTCTGTATGAGATTGAAGGACTGCTGAAAAGTCCCCTCCAAGGCCTACCTTCCCTCTCCTGATCAGCAACTGGGCCTGGAATCCAGAAATGGGGCACTATCTTTGGCAGAGCCCTTATTAATCCCATAATGTTTTGAAATAAGTAATGCTAAATACCTAAGGTAGGGGGATTTAAAGATGTCCCACTGGGATGGGAAGTAGCCTGGGAAATAACTTTGCTCCCATCACATCCTGACTTCAAATTAGTGGTGAGATCTCAACTATCTTTCCCATTTGGCCAGAAAGCCCAGATCGTAGAGTTAGTCGTAGCCAGGATTGACTACCAGGAATTTGCAGGCAGAATCATTACTTACCATAAACTCCGGAAATGTGCCCATGTAACATGCAAAGCCAACAAAAAGCATCCAGCCGAGCACGATCATGATAAAACAATTTCTAAGACACAATTGCACAGTGAAAGACTTTTCACCAAGATCTTGGCAAAGGAGTATGCTCAAGAAACCCTCAGTTGGAAGAGGTCTCACATGTCAGTTCCAATCCTTGGCTCCAAGGGATCCAGAACTCCCTAGTAGAGAGGTTGAAGTCTAGTAGGGCATTGTGACATCATTGGTCACATGACTCATACTCACTACAAGTCAGGTCAGATCATTCCTCTGTTCAAAACCCTCTTGAGGATTCCTCTTTCAGAGTAAAAGCCTAACAAATAGAAAAGCAGCCCCTGACATTGAAACTCGTCTGACCCAGCTCTGTCTCAGTGTCGTTAGCTTATTTGGCACACACATCAGAGTTGTGATTCTCCTGTAGGTGTAACAATCTCACAGAAAACCAACATCAGTTGGGTCATTCAGACCATGACAAAAATGGGACAAAACAAGGCCCACTTCATCATTCTGTCTAAGCAAAAACAAGGTCATCCTCTTTTCTCTGCAAATATGAGAGATTGGTGCTTTTTCTTTTTACCAGTCACAGCTTTATCATCACTCTAGTTTGCCCATCTTATGGATATTTGAGATAATCAATTATAGAATTGTCCTTTCTGCTACCACCCAACCCAAAGTGGAGCTTTGCTTTCTTAAACCCTCTCCCAAATCACCCAAAAAGCAAATCCTCTAAAAGGTTCTTTTCAACATTTTTACTAAGCTGTCTCAATGGTTCTCTACTGTCATCTACTCCCTCCCTGCAAGGAGTAATCAACCCAACTTGTTTCAGTGTGTGTGTGTGCCTGCTGGTCTCTGGCTGAAGAGCATTGACAAGCCAGTCACAATTGTGTGCAAAGCACTCACACTGGTTCTCAGATTTTTTTTTTTTCTTCTTACATTAGAATTACCCAGGCTTCTTACAACAGACGGCTGGACCCTACCCCTAAGGTTCTGATTTTGTAGGTTTGAGGTGGGGTCTCAGAATTTGTATTTTTAACAAGTTGAGGCTGTAAGTCTGTGGACCACACGGGAAGAATAACTGCCTTAGCTCCCTCTTGTTTCTCTGAATTAGCCTACTTCTGCTTCCTCACTTCTTACTTCATTCTACTCCAGCCATACTCGCCTCACTGTTTCAAGCCTCCCAAGCTCATGCCTGTTTTAGAACTTTGCTTGGGATATCCTCTATGAAATGCTTATTGTTTCAGCCCTCCAGGGGACCTACCAAAACACAAAATTACTTTATAACATGCAGTCTAATTTACTTATTTATTGTATTTGTTATTTTGCTTTTTTCCTAGGAATAAAAACATCAGCCTTAGGAAAGCTGATGTTTTTGTTTATTTTGTTCACTTCTGTATCATCAGACCTAGAAAAATATTTAGCCCATAGTCAATGCTAAACCAAAAGTTTGTTGAATGAACAAATTCTCCTTCCAGTCTTTCAACCTTCTCCTAATTGAGTCACAGCATTGTTGCCTTTAGGTCTTCCAATTAATACAATCACCCTACTGACAGCCCAACCTCTTGACAGTTAAAAAAATATCTTGTGTTCCTGTTCAAGCCAGGAACACAAAGCAGGTAACTCACAAGTCAAGGAGACCAAACAAAGCCAGCATATTGCATATCTTCCCCTTCTTCTCCAGGTGGCCCAATCCACCAACCTACCTCTACTCCTATTTTCAAAGTTTTCGTTTTCTTTTTTTTCCCGCCTGGCTTTTGCTTTTCTCAACCACCAATATGGTTATGGTACCCTCCCCCGGGGGGGCGGGGGGAAGGCAACCTCTCCCCCATGCGTTATTCTCCTCACAAGGGCTGCCACTATCTCCCAGTTCTCCGACCACAACGCTCCTGCTGCCTTCCCCTTCTAGGTCCCTGAAATTTTGATTTTGACTTTTCATGATCTCTTTCTTCCTAAATCCAACCACAACATTCGTTCTTGATCTTTTTCGTTACTGAATTTCACACCTCTTTCTAGAAACTCTCTTCCACCTCCTTGACTGCTTGTCCTCAGGTCCCTCTTAGTCCTCTCTTCACAGATATTCCCCCAGTTCCTTTCCAGCAATGCTGGGTCCTAGTTCCCTAAACCTCCGCGGAGTCTGGGGCGTTGGAGGCGGGTGGAGTGTCGAGCCCGGGAAGGGGCGGGGCCTCGCGCCTCCCGGGAAGTTTGGTCCTCGGCGGCAGCCGTCCAGGTGCCGGTGGGGAAAGGAGGTCGAGAGGCTGGGGCCGCGGAATCTGACTCGGGAACCCGCCTAGAGATGGAGTTCGACTGCGAGGGTCTGAGACGGCTGCTGGGCAAGGTGCGGGCAGCCCGCTGGGCTGGTGCAGGGGTCTCAGGGCATTTTCACCCCCGGACGGGCTACCCCGCAGTGGCGTGTCCCCCGCTCGTTGCAGAGCTTGGAGCGGAGGGGGCGCTGGCATGAAGTCGGCTGCTGGGAGAGGGGTAACGGGGAGGCCTCGGAGGAGCCGCCGGTCTCTCCCTCCCAGGGCCTGGCTTGACTGCACTCGCAGCTCCGAGGCCCCCAACCTCCTGCGGTATGAGACCTCCTTGCGCCCCTTGGTCTCAAATAGCTTCTATAATAGCAGCTGCCTGTCCCTGGAGCCGCTCCCTTTTCTCTCTGCTGAAATGGCTTGTTCCACTTTTTTCTTGACTTGCAAAGTTCGCTCGGCCTCAGATGCCAGTGTCTGGAAGATAGAAGCAGTCCTTTCTCTCTGCTTGCTTTCAGAAATATCGATGATCCCATCGTGGGGTCTTGGTGTACTTACACCCCTTACTCCTGCTTTTGAACTCTGCCGCCTCGCGCTGTGCCTCAGCATCGAAAGTGCTCAGTGACTGCAGCAAACGAGAGACCCGAGTAGATTTAGGAATGAAGACGGGGCTTGAAGGCCTAGAAGAGATCCTCATAGCGTTGAAAGGTTGATCGCAGGGCTGACCCACAAGTCTGACCTACATTTCTGGGGCTTGACCAGAGCCAGTTTCCGGTTCAGGCTCTCTGAGTCCCCATGATTGGATAGTCTGAGGCAGTCCCTCTTCTCAGTTTTCTAGTTGTAATTATTAAAAATAATAATAATAAAAAAAAATTTTTTTAAGATACGGGGAAAGAGAGATTAAAAACATCAATGATGAGAGAGAATCATTGATCACCTGTCTCCTGTACGCCCCCACTTCCCCCCGGGATCGAGCGCACAACCCCTGGCATATATATGCTCTAGCCAGGAATCAAACTGTGAGCTCCTGGTTCCCCACGTCAATGCTCCACCACTGAGCCACACCTGCCAGGCTGTAGCAGTTCTTTATTTTTTATGACTGAATAGTCCATGTTATGGACATATTACATTTTACCCATCAATTGATAGACATTTGGATTGTTGTAAATGTAAATGTTTTCTCAAAATCATTTTTGGAATGGTGATAGACTCTTAACATACTTCTTTTTCTTTTATTTAATCCTTAAACACAAGTCTATAAGGTAGGTATTGTTTCTCTTTGCAAATAAGAAATATTCAAAGAAATTAAATGATTTTGCCCACAGGGCAACCAATGTCATGTTTCTAGGAGCGCATCTGGATGAATGAGGAGACAGTTCACTCAGCCTGACTGCAAACCCATGCATGGTGTTTTTTTTTTGTTTTTTTTTTTTTTCCTGTTCTCCCTTTGAAACCCAAGATGCAGTGCCAGGAGGGTTGGAAGGGAAATTCAAGGTGTGTCAAGTGAATGAATGAGGTATTCAAGAATAAGAGTGGATCTTGAATAGTGGTGACAGGAGTGATAGATACATCTGTTCTACTTCTTAAGCCTTCAGCAGGTATTTGGAGGCAGTTTGATTTAGTGATTAAAGGCCCAGGTCCTAGGTTTCATCTCTGGCTTCCCTACTTAACTTACTAACTCAGCAGGTTATTTGTATTCTCTAGCTTTCATTTTTATATTTATAGGGTTGTTATTACTATTCATGTTTGTAAATCAAATACTATTCATGTTTGTAAAACTCAGAGCCTCGTACACAGTAAGTGTTCAGTTAAATGTTGATTGTAATTATTCTGTTGTCTATAGATTTATTCTTATCCCATGCTCATTTTTCTCTTTTCAGTACAAGTTCAGGGATCTAACTGTGGAAGAACTAAAGAATGTAAATATGTTTTTCCCACATTTCAGATATTCCATGGACACCTATGGTAAGATTTGTATTCTCTAGTTTTTGCTACTTTATGTAAACTATTAGTTATTTGTTCCTAGTGAGCTACAAAATTATAATTTCTCTCTTTTATCCCCTGATTTTGAACTACACTTTGTGACCTGTGATTTCTGAGGAAATTTAAATTAATATTAACTTTCTATTGCTGTCATACAAATTAGCACAAATTTAATGACTTAAAAAACAACATATATTTACTATCTTACAATTCTGTAGGCCAGAAGTGCAGCACAGGCCACTATAGATGAGAAGTGTGGACTAAAAATGTTGGCAGTTCTTAGTTCCTTTTGGAGGCTCTGGGAGAAAATCCATTTCCTTGCCTTTTTCAGTTTCTTAAAGTCATCCTCATTCTTTGGCTCCAGGTCTCCTTCCTCCATCTTCAAACTTAGCAATGTTGCATCTCTCTCACCATCCTCTGTCCTCTGATTACCCTCTACCCACAACTAGGAAAGTGCCTCTACTTTTAAGGACCAGTGTGATTCCATTAGGTCCCTTCCAGTAGTATGGGATAATTTCCCACCTCATGTCCTTAATTATATCTAAAAAAATCTATTTTCCAAGTAAGGTTAGCATATTTAGAGGGTCCAGGATTAGGGTATTGAATATCTTTGGAGGTCATTATTCTGCCTACCACATACATGGTTGAAGTTTTAGTGATCTTATTCACTTAATACAGAGAGTCTAGCTACCTAAGAAACATTTTGATTTACTATCTTTCAAAAATTTCTGACCACAGCCTGCACTTGGAAATATATTTTTGTATCAGGAACCCATATACACATAACTAAAATACTGTGGACTCTTTGGCATTTTTTCTTCTATTTATTCCATTCCATTTTAAAAACAAGTACTGATTGAAACTCACTAAATTAATTTCAGGATCCATGAATTAGTCAAAACACACAGTTTTGAAAAACTTCTTTATTCTATATTGCTATGTTTTATATTTGTATTAGTTTGGGTTAAGAAAATGTATGTAATTCAGATTTATATATTAGAATCTTTGAGGAGTTATTGAAGTGTTTCTTAGGAATAGCTAATTTTATATGTGGAAAACATTATTAAATTCAGGCCCATCTGTGACTGGCATCTTTTAATTGGCACCTAGTTATTTGGTGTTGTATACATGCCTGGGATAAGAGATGCAACACCTGCTACTTATTAAATGCCAGATGTGCTTCCAAATGTTTTATCTAAGTTTTCTGGCTTATCTCTTTTTTTAGAACTAAAGCTATGAGGTAAGCATTATCTTCTTCATTTTTCGGATAAAGAAACCAAGGCTCA